TGCCTCAGGTGCAACGACGGGAACTCGCGAGCATTGGCCTTGGTGGTGTGCCAGGAGGTGGCCCTTCAACTGTAGTCACTCCGTTCAACTCCAAGTCGGTGCAGGCCACCGGCCTCTCGGCGGGACGCCCAGACTCATCATCGGTGCACCGATAGCTAGCGGGTCAGGTGGCGTTGCAACCGTCGTCGCCAATACCGACGGTAGCGACACAGCTGGCTGCTTCCATTACGGTGCAGGACAGAGGCGACACAGCATGGGGACCGGACGGGGTTTCGAAGCACCAGAAACTAGCTGCGCTGCAGGCGGTCGCCCAGCTACCTGCTCGTGATGAGCTAGACAAGCTGGCCCTGGCTGGGTGTGGCGCTGAAGGCCCGACCTCCCGTGTACAACCATGCATGCATACTGCGGCTGGGCGTGGTGCCGCAGGACCGGAGTGGATGCATGCACCGGCTAGCCATGGTGCTGAACGGCCGGCCTCGGGTGTGCAGCCATGCATGCATGCACCCATGGCTGCTCTTAAGCCCCAGGTGAAGGTCATGCAACCTCCTGTTGTACAGATTGTAAAGACAGTTGACTCTACGAGTTTGGACGCCCTTCAGCTGCAGGTGGAGCCGGCCACGTCCATCTCTACCGCATTCACTGGTACGACTGGTCCGGCCCCTCTTTAGACAATGACCTCGTCGTTCGAGCCTGTGGTTGAGATTGTCGGGGAGGGGGTTGCTACTCCACCATCATCCCCTTCACCGGCAGTAGAGCAGGCGCCACAACCTCCAATGGGGATGACACCTACACGACGGAGTAGTCGGCATTCTATTGCCGACGACGGTTCTATGGACACAGATGAGGACTCTTTGGCCAAGGCTATGCGGCGTAAGGCAGCGCAAAACCTCGACAACCAAGGTATTACGTCGTCACCCAAATCCTTTTTAGATTTTTCTAATACTACCATCGTTTCTAAGTTAAATAAAGTGGGTGTCAGTCTTGGAAAGAATGAGAAGGATATTTCTATTTCGACTAACGCTTTGAAACATGTGGAATATGACCGATTAAAAGTTACTCCACGTGTTTCTAGCAAGTCTTATGTCTCCTGTACTGATGAGGAAGAGCTGCATGCCACACCAGATGGTCAGCTACTCTCTCATTTAGTAGGGGCGGTTTCGGACGTGGGTCTAGATGAACCCGGGCTTAGTTCATTGATTGAGCTTACAGCATCCGGACGTAAATCAAAGACCGCACATTCGAAAAAAGATAGTAAGTCCCATAAGAGGGCAAAGTGTTCTAAATCTCCTATTGTTTCCTCATGAATGGAATGTTTTTTAATAGCAGAGGTCTTCGTGACTTGGCTAAACATTTATTCATTGCAGAATGTAATAGGGAATACAATTTAGATTTTTTGGCTATCTCTAAAACGGGTAGACGTGATTTCTCAGTAAGTCTGCTTAACCGTCTTTCTGGCGGGATAGACTTTACTTGGGTTTCGCGACCACCTAGAGGTCGTTCTGGGGGCATTTTACTTGGCGTAAATACAGGGACTATGGATGTTTTGGCTAGTTCGAATGGCGAGTTTCATGTTAAACTCCATATTCGCAACAAGGCCGACAACTTCACATGGACCCTCGTCGCCGTGTATGGGGCAGCCCAGGATGAGTTCAAGGCCGATTTTCTTCGTGAATTGGTTAATCTAGCGAAAGATAATCCCTATCCCATTCTTATAGGTGGGGATTTCAACTTGCTTCGATTTCCAAATGAGAAAAGTCGTGGTAGGTTCGATAATCATTGGCCTTTCCTTTTCAATGCTGTCATCGACAGTCTAGGTTTGCGAGAGGTTTCTATGATTGGAAGACAATTCACATGGGCGAACAGTCTTCCGGAACCGACATATGAGAAACTAGATCGCGTTTTAATGGATACCGAATGGGAATCAAAATTTCCTATGGTTTCTGTTCGTGCTCTACCTCGTATCGAGGCTTTATCAGACCACGCACCCATTCTTCTAACTACTGGGTTGCCACGACCACAACATAGACGCAAGTTTAAGTTCGAACTTGGGTGGTTGCTTCGGGATGGCTTCCATGACATGGTCAAGGAAGTGTGGGAGAAACCAGTCGCCGGGCCTACCCCAATACACAGATGGAATAACAAAATGCGTGCATTACGTAAATTCCTTGGTGGTTGGGCCAGGCATACGGTGGGTATCCTCAAAAAGGAGAAGCTTCGTCTTTCATCTATCATTGATGAATTAGAAGCTTTGGCAGAGGTTAGACCTCTATCTGAGCATGAAATTGAGATCAAGAATCATTCAAATGCACAGATAGCAAACATGCTGCGTGAAGAGGAACTCAAATGGTACCAACATTCTAACTCGCAATTTATCCTGAAAGGTGATTCGAATACTAGATATTTTCATGGAGTCGCCAATGGCAGACACCGAAAGAAAATTATTCATTCCCTACAACAGGATGAGGGAGTGATTGAGGGGCATGAGCAACTTAAATCTTATATCACTAATTATTATAAAAATCTGTTCAGAGCCCCAGAGGAAGGAAACTTCTCGATGGATGAGACCCGAACAGATGACATCCCTCAGGTCTCTGATGAGGAAAACAACCTTCTAACAGCCCCATACTCTGAGGAGGAAGTTAGAAAGGCAGTTTTCCTAATGGAGCATAACAAAGCCCCGGGTCCGGATGGTTTTCCTGCTGAGTTCTATCAGAAATTCTGGGAAGTCATCAAACCGGATCTCCTACTTTTGTTTACCGACCTACATGCTGGCCAACTAGAATTGTTCCGCTTAAACTTCGGTGAGATTATTTTATTACCTAAGGTTAATGAGGCTGAACGGATACAACAATATAGACCTATTTGCCTCCTTAATATTAGTTTTAAAATATTCACAAAGGTTGCGACTACTAGGCTAAATTCGGTTGCTGAACATGTGGTTCGGCCTTCACAGACAGCTTTTATGCAAGGCAGACACATCCTAGATGGAGTTGTTATCCTTCATGAAACAGTCCATGAATTACATCGGAAAAAGTTAAATGGGGTGGTACTCAAAATAGACTTTGAAAAGGCTTATGACAAAGTCAAGTGGCCTTTTCTTCAACAGACTCTCAGAATGAAAGGATTTTCTGAAGAGTGGCGCGCTATGATCCATAGCTTCGTTTCTGGAGGTAGTGTTGCCATTAAGGTCAATGATGATGTTGGACACTATTTCCAAACGAAGAAGGGATTGCGACAAGGTGACTCGGTATCACCCATGCTATTCAATATAGTGGCGGATATGCTAGCGGTCATGATTGAGCGTGCCAAGGTTGATGGCCAAATTGATGGGGTAGTAAATCATCTAGTTGATGGTGGTCTCTCTATACTTCAATATGCCGATGATACGATTCTCTTCATGGATCATGACCTCGAGAAAGCGAGAAATCTGAAACTAATTTTATCAGCATTCGAGCAACTCTCGGGTCTAAAGATCAATTTTCATAAAAGTGAATTGTTTTGCTTTGGCGAGGCTCAAGACGAGGCCCACCTGTACGCTCAACTGTTCGGATGCGGGTTGGGTCAGTTTCCCATCACATATTTGGGGATACCGATACATTATTGGAGACTCACAAATGCTGAATGGAAACACGTCGAGGAGAGACTGCAAAAAAGACTTAGCAGTTGGAAAGGTAAACTGCTGTCTCTGGGTGGAAGATTGGTACTCATAAATTCAGTACTTAGTAATATGGTACTATATATGATTTCCTTCTTCCAGTTACCGAAAGGAGTTTTACATAGATTGGATTATTTCCGATCAAGATTCTTTTGGCAAGGAGATAGCGAGAGTAAGAAATATCGACTGGCTAAATGGAGTGTGGTTTGCCGTCCCAAAGACCAAGGCGGGTTGGGCATTCATGACCTTGAGGTTAAGAATAGGGCCCTCCTCGGCAAATGGTTGTTTAAATTACTAACGGAAGATGGTGTATGGCAAACCCTCCTAAGGAGGAAATATGTGGGTTCCAAGGCGATATCCCAAGTATATTGGAAGCCTGGGGATTCCCACTTTTGGGCAAGTCTAATGGCTACGAAGAAATATTTCTTCTGCTATGGATCCTTCTCGATTAAGGACGGCTCGGAAATTAGATTCTGGGAGGACAAGTGGCTAGGAAATGCCACACTCCGGGAACAATATCCGGCTCTATACAACATTGTACGCCACAAAGGTGATACTATCGCCACGGTAATGGAATCATTTCCACCAAATGTGACGTTCAGAAGAGACTTAATTGGACCCAGACTCCAATCGTGGAATATCCTGCTCCAACGGTTGTCCACGGTGCAATTGTCACATGGGTCTGATGTATTCCGATGGAACCTCCATGGGAATGGACAATTCTCAGTGGATTCTATGTATAGAGCGTTAATTATACGGGAAGTATCGTACATGATTATATAAGGAAACATGTACGATACTTCCCGTATAATCCATGTCCGACACATCAGATCGAACTGCCGGTGAGGTGGATTCAATGTGCAGCATCCCCGCAAAACAAAAGGATTTAATGTGCAGCAGACCACTCGGTGTTGCATCGTACGAGGATTGGACAAGGAAACGTCGTCTGTGCAGCAGACCACTGGAAGAAGTACATTTATTATCTTTCAAAAATCAAATACCCAGGATACAACTACATTACTGATTGATCTCCTACAACAATTTCTAGATGGAACGATGGCAAAAGAACAGGGGGGGAGACATACATACTTATCTTACAGCATTTGTACTGAACAATTTTCCTTACATCAAAGACAAGATTAAGACGGAACAGAAGCAGAACATCTCCTCGGCTCTTCCAACTCTATAACCTGGCATACCAAAGTTCCCGGAGTAAGTACGTACAGTAGAGGGATAGACAGGTATCGCATGCCACCGCTGAAACAATTAGCTCTCGAGCCAGTTGCATAATAGCTTCCCTCCAAATTTAATCATTTAAATATATGAACGAGCAAAAAGGAGAATATTACGTGAACATTTGTGGACGGTTACGGGGCTGGGGACGCTTCACTGGTGAGATTATCATATTTCTCAGAGCTGTCGAAGAATTGTTCATGTTAGCTCCAAAGACGGACCGTGGCGGCTGTCTGGGTCTCATATCCATCGGAGGTGCAGCAGTGTGACCAGGAGAACCCCCAGACAGCTCAAATGGACCAGAGTTCTCACGTCGTTGCCTTGGTTGTGGAGCCCATCCCTCATCTCTGCGCCCTGGGGTTTCAGGAGGATCAATCGATCCTGCAACAAGTGAATGAGCTGTTTTTGTGGAGAGGTAGCTTCTAGAAAGCCAAAGTGTTGTATTGAACTTATTCATGGCTGGATGTTTAGCAAAAGTAGCTATTTAATAGCTTCTCGAAAGGCAAAGTATTGGGACGAGTGAGCGGTAGACAACTAAAATCAACTGCGTGCATAATGCCATAAATTACCTTGTCTCAGAGGGTCGCCGCTGTCCAATATGTTGGGCATGCCTGAGAACAAGTCAGGCTGAGCTCTAGGGAAGTAGTTGTTTGCAGGTTGAATGGCTGAACGTTTTACTGATTCATACTCGTTTCTCAGCTGATCATACATCTCATCAAGCTTCCTCTTCTGCCTGGAAGGAAAGCACATTTCATACATATTGGATGGAGCGGAACTTTGTTCCTATAAGGAAAATAATGGCACACTAGACTAACCTGGATTTCTCTGCAAATTTTTCCTGTAACTCCTGCTTATCCCTTGTCAAGTTTTCAATCTCTTGTTCCATCAACTGGCATCTTTTGGCCATCTTCTGGTATGCCGCATGCACTTCTTCCAGTTTTTCAGTGAACTTTGCCTGCATAACTTCACACTTTTGCCTACATTGACCAACAATTCTGTTCATCTTGTATTGCATCTCCAGATCCTTTTGTCCGATGTAAAACATGACACTTCTGTATGCACTCTTCATAACTGATTAGTATCATGTTCAAGGAAAAGCTAAATGATTATCATATTAGCAACAAAAGAACAAGCCTTCAACAGTAGTTACATAATCGCTGACATCATTGTCTCACTACAGCAGTTTTTGTTTTCAATTTTAGGTTGCTTGAGTTACTGGAATACTAAAACAGGAAGTTAATCAGGCACTATATTCCATAGAGGTGAGCTATGTTATTCAACAAAATAACATAAGAACAATTCTAGGTCCAGTGAATAAAATATCAAGGATACGTATCTGTGGAGAAACTCCAGTCATTGACATCTGAGATAACAAACAAAGTTATCACAACAGATGAGCAACAGGAAAATCGACTGCATATGTCATTATGAATCGAATTCAGAGGGGTACTTACATCTGTCCATTCATCGCTTGGATTTATGTCAGTAGGCTTCATATGGCTAAGAAATAATTAAAAAAAGGATTATATGATATCGGCATATTAATACATGGCTATTAATTTGGTCTCAAGACTAAAACAGAATCCACTGTAACATGTTAAGAAGTGACATAGGTATATAAGGTTCTCATTAAGAGAAAAGTAAGAATGTGAAATACACACGAAACATGATGTTTTGTAGGCACTCCAGCATCTGTAGATATCCCAAATTGATATGGACAAGAGAAACGTAGCTTACACGAAGGATGAAACATTAAGCATGAAATAATGAATGCTATATCAAGAGTTTATAACTGACCTTTTGGAAAGTACTTGGTCACAAATTGGACATGCACCATCGTTACTGAGTATTTTCTTTGCATCCTCTGTACCTGCACAATAAGTATCAGTTCAAGTAAAAAAAAATGTATTCAGCAGTCCTCATGAACTTTACTTATTTACAGTTGAAACGATTAAACAGAAAGAGATAGAAGATTGCAGGCATACATAAAAGATGGCCACAAGTTGTTGTTATGGCTTGTCCTTCCAACTCCCGCCAGCAAGCGTTGCACTTCATTTTGTATTCTTTGTTCAGAAGAACCCTGCAGGTCGAAACACAGATAAATGACTTGCACTAGATGAACTGATCATAACCATCTAATGTGTCCTGCATTACGGCCCTAAATCCTAAGAGGCTAAGAAGCACAAAATGCATGATTAGTGCAAATAATCACAAAATAAATGCAGAAATAACTGCATAAACTGTTTTCATGGAATGTGTAATCATGAGGGCATTTGCATAATAAAATGCCAGATCTTTTTGTTTTGAGTACCGAAATTTAACTATGAATCAGTTTTTGTTGTGCATCACATATTTACCACTGATACCACAATACATAAAATTTCTCAAGCATTGTAGTTTTCCCACTGCAAACAATAACTGGAAGCAAGACAATGAAGATGAAAACGAGAAATAAAGTTGGCCTTGAAGTGCAGCACACAATTTCTGTTATTTCCATTACACATTACCTCGCTTTTGACTACACTGGGTTGGACTATACATCACAGATCAGAGATGAGATAAAGGTATATATTTACAATGAAATAGGAAACCTGAGGAGCCATAGTTCGCCCACTGAATTCCATCAACAAAGAAGCATAAAAGGTCTTAATAGGCCAGAGAAGAATCATCTATAATGTTCTCCGAGTATTCTTTAAGTGATTCCGTATCAAATTTGTATAGTACTCATGAGTTCAGATTTAAACTTGTTAATGTTTAAAACCCTTCTGCTGTGCTCGGGAAAGCCGGAGCACTTTTCCACACGTCTTCTGATACCATACCGCGCACTTCTTTTAGCAAGCTCGGGGGACCCTGTATCCCATGTCACTGACAGGTATGTAACAGAATTCCATCACATAAATTCCTATTGAAACTTTTGGCATATAAGAAAAAGGGTAATCAGCATTTCTTCAAGCATTTTTTTAATTCAAATTTGCCATTCGGTTATGTGCAAAATATATCAAGATATTACAGTAACTAACCTTGCACTTATAATCGCCTAAACAGTAGGATCTCATATAACACAAGACATGATCAACATTACAAACATACCAGGTACATACAGAAGTCCTGATGCAGAATTCATCTAGTATATTGTAACCCGGTTACCTATTCCGCTGATTTGAGCTTAATCAAGTAGATAAGCTATCTCAGAGCACCTAAGTAGCTATAATATGTTTGGACGAGTGCTCAAATAAACTGTGATAACAGTGGTAGTGCCACTAAATACTGCTAATTAGGTAGCTTTATGGGAGACTTCTACAAACTCTCTCTATACTCCATAACAGAGACAAGAGTTCTGACTGATGCATCAAGCGATATGCATTTAGAACTATTTCTGCATTCCATAACATTTCACTCCTAATTAACTATTGCAACTAAATGGCATGATCCAACTTGCTTCAAATATAATAGTTCATTACATGTCAAGTTTTACTCTCATAATCTCAATTGTCAACAGTGAACATAGTGAATATATTTCAAATTAACACAGATCCAAACAAGCCAGCATAATAATTTTGTTAGCGGTACAGAAAACACCATAAATTTGTTGCATCCAGAGCACCAAAAATGCAAGAACAAAGCAGACACGATACACGATGACCCTATACTCTTCAGAACCTACCATTTGCAGCTAAAACAGACTGGTTAAAGCACTATAAAGCGAGCAGCAGAGCAGCTTTTGTACTCTTAACTCAACCGCACACACATCACAAATGGAACTGTATAAATGCGAATAGTTGCACTTGTACTACTAGCTAACTGTCCGCACTTGCCCATGAGGAGCGCAATCGAAGCCTGAGCACAATTTGGTGCAGTAGCGACTCCAAAACCCGCTGTAATGTCGGAAGCAAATTTCCCCAGGAGATCTCGCGACCAATCGCGTCCAATCCAGCAATCCACAAAGCAAAACTAGCTCCGACCCAGCGCCCAGCGCAGCCTAATAGCAAATCCGATGCGGTGAGATGGAGCGCTCAGTTACCTCCACACGAGCGTCAGGAAGGTGACCTCGTGAACGACGGTGGTGGTGGTGATGAGAGGTGGGTCTCCGGCGGGGACGAAACCCTCTTCGTCGAGGGCTCCAGAAGCCAGTATTCCGCTCCGCCGAGGAGGCGACGGGGAGCAGGAGGCGGGCCGGGAGGAGTTGGGGTGGGCGAATGGGAGTAGCCGTGGCCGTGGCGGCAATGGGGCCGCGAGGGTTTCAAACGAGTGGGATTGCTTGCTTCATTCGCGGAGAAGAGGAGGAAACGGCCGTTGCGAATGCGAGTCGCGGGTGACCGCGACGAGAGGCGTGGTCGTCGACTGTGGAGACGGCCGCTGTCCTTCACGCATTTGGTGCTGTGGCCTATATTTGGAACAAATCCCCCTCAAATCTAAACTAGATTAATCACCCCCTCAAATCTAAACTAGATTAATCACCCCCTCAAATCTGTCATACCAGATCAATGAGGCCTCAAGGTGGCATTGAATCTGATTTAAGGTGGTTTTCGTGTTAAAGTTGCTGACTGGACGAGCTGACGTGTCAAAATTAATTGAATTAGATAAAGTTTCCCTTTCTTTATCAGGATGAATCTTAACTCTCTCACGCGCGACAACGCACATCGATTTCTCCCACGCAACAAACCCGGCCTCTAGCAACAAACCCTAGGTCGAATTCATGTAAGAGGGTAGTCGTCGTTCGTCTTCCATGGCGTAGTCATCTGATAGCTCGTTCAATAGTTGTCGTTCGTCTTCATTGACGTTGTTGGCACCTCAACGGAAAGGGCCAATGAAGTACGTGCCCGAGCAGATATGTCATTGCAAAGTGAAGGCGTCAAAATGGATATTATGGAACTGGCGGAGCCACGGTGCTAAAGTTGGACGGGCCAATACAAAGGAGAGCCCATTATTTTTACATTCACGACACAATCTACTCTCAGTATCTCACTGTATTTGCCATGAAATGGGCGGGCCATGGCCCTTTTTTACAACACATAGCTTCACCGGTTTCATGAAGCCTCCTCCCCAATCCTGGCCCGATGTTCTAGGGTATCCTATGGTAATCTTTCACGAATTGGAGTGGGATTCCACGAAGAACACGGGGAAGAACACGAAGAAATCACAAAGGAATTGATACGGCTCAAATAGCTTTGAGACGATTTTTGGGTTGCCCTGATCTTTCACCGCACGCACAGACAAAAAAATGAGTTTGGCAGCAAAGACCGAATAATAGCAGATGAGAGGGTTTGCTGGTAGACGTGTAGTAGCTAGAGAAAATATACAACTTGCTGAAGTGGTGGATGTGCACGTGAAGGAATCTAGTAGCAGTCGTGATGTAGTAGTAGTACTGGGACAGATGAAGAGATTAAGGTAATGATGATTAGCGGCGGCGACAGCGACGGAGTAATTATCACATGAATAATGAGAAGAAGGAAACGAGGATTCGTCCTTTGCAGAGAGCAAGAAACGAATTGATCTAGTGCTCTAGCTATCAATGGTCGCTTGAACACATGCGATAATCGAACCAAAATCATGGATCACAGGAACATAGAGTTAGGACAAGGACATCCATTGATGCATTTTCTGAGTATCTTTTTTCCCCAAAACTGAAACCTCCTAGACGACGCTGCAACTATTGCTTTATATAGGTGGATGCGCTAAGATGGGCCAAACCTGACTTGAACTAGGAAACGATGAGGACTCCTCATCTGTTACAAATTGTACGTGGCAAACAAAAAGGGAACTACAAAATCGGAACAAACTATGGAAAGCAAATAAAAGGGACACACGTACGTATACTTGCATGTATGATTTCTAGGCCAAAACTAAAATTAACTTGATGGTGTAGCCTTCAAACTTTCATTCTGCTGACGTAGGTAGAAGTAATCACAAGGTGTTCTGAACGTGAGCTTCACTTCCTCCCGAGGTATGAACTGAGGAGCAACAGAACAAACAAAAGAATTATTTGTGGTGATGTTGTTGTGTTCAATCGGTAGAGCATATGGCCATCTCCTTTCAGTAGCATATGAAACGGGCTTCACACCTAAGACCCCCCTCTGTTCTGTAGCACACATGATTTTCTTATGATGTAGAGCGGGAACCACATACTTTTGCATCTTGTTTTCATAAGGAGTCTCTCAGTTGGAAGAATTTTACTTGACAGTAATGGAGGAACGACAAGAGTACCTGCGGTGACCCTATCATCCTCTCCCCCCTTTAAGTGAAACCGTTCTCGGTTTTGGTGCACTCTTCAAAAATTCCTTATGTAAAAACACATGATCAATCTTGATAGCATTGTTACCAACGGGCTGCAGCACACGTTTGATGCCAACATCTCGAAACACATAAGTGTTGGATCTTCCCTCATGTATAGCATTGCGATCATATTGCCACGGATGACCCAACAACAACTGACACACATCCTGATGTCGGGTGGAACCCTAGATGGTCGATCTTTCTTGAAAGGAGCGGATCCCGCGAAGAACACGAGGAGAAATCACGAAGGGAAACACGAGAGAATCACTCAAACCAACAATAACGATCACACATATGCTAGATCCTCGGAACACAAAGAGATACACGATCCACGATCAACAAGGGACGATACATAGGGTAACCGGTTCTTCTCCGTGAGGAGGTCTTGAGTTCTTCCCGTTGGGGGTCTTGAATCCAAGTGGATCTTCTCCGAAGAGGAATGGTCTCTCTCGAAGGAGTAAATCTAGGTGGATGAGCAGAGCTCTATCTCTAATATGAGCTATCACATTGCTAACCCTAACTAGGAGGAGGAGGGGGTCTATATATAGTGCTAAGCGACGAAAGGATAAGTGAGGAGCGAAGGGGTTCACGGGCCTCGGCCCAAGTCATGCGCGCAGGCAAAGGCCGGATGATCCGGATGGGGGTCCGGAAGATCCGGGCATCGTCCGGATGATCTGGGTCCTTGTCCGGATGATCCGGCTCCACCGGGTGAATTCTGCAAGCTTCGGGTGTCGTGGCTGTGGGATTACCCGGATGATCCGGGGGGCATCCGGATGATCCGG